GGGTGGGGGTGGTCGTTGTTGTGGTTGTGGCCTTGGGTGTGTTTGTTGGCGGGTAGGTGGGTGGGTGGTAAGACGGGAGGCGGAGGAGAAAGGTAGGGGTGACGAAAGAGGGGGTGGGTGCGTGGCAGTATCAGCTCAGGGAAGGAGGGACACAGGCCACTGTCCCTACCGCCCCCACCGCCCTTACCCCTCCCCTCCAGGCCCAACGTGATCGTGACCGGCGCGGGCCCCGCCTGGGCTGACGACACCTTTGGCCTCGTCAGGCTGGGGGCCGCCGGCCAGGGCGGCGAGGATGGCGTGGAGGGTGGTGGTGGTGTTGGTGGTGGTGGCGGCGTGGACGTTGCTCTCGTGAAGCCGTGCTCCCGCTGCACCGTGCCGTTGGTTGAGCAGGAGAGCGGCGTCGTCACGGGCAAGGAGCCCATCAAGACCATGCAGGGCTTCAGGTGCGGGAGGCTTGGGGGAGAGAGGCAGACCGTGCGATTGCCTCTGATGAAGTCTTTGTGCAAGCATCGAGCGGCAAAGAGCTTGACAGAGACGTGTGCACACTGCGTGCCATTCGTTCCGACTTGAAAGGAGCTGGTTTGCTAGAAAGTGGCACGGACCCTTGACCCACCCCTTATTTGCGCGGTTTGCCCCAGTGTCTGGCATGCCTGATCACACACACACTGTCCCCAACACTCACACCCACCATGCCTGCATTCCCCCCCCTTCCCCAGGTCTGGCCGTGCCCTGGGGTGGGACAAGAAGTACGGCGGACTGGGGGCCACGTTTTTTGGCCACAACGGCCAGCCGCTGGGGAGCTCCCTGGTCAGAGTGGGCGACCCCATGACCGTCCTCAAGGGCGCCAGCTGGGCCTGAAGCTGCCCAGGCGCGGCGTGACCTCAGCCGGACACCGCCGCGGAACCCTGCCCACTTGCGGCACAGGGCCTCCCAGCTCCCTGGCCAGGCGCACCTGGTCTTGTGGGGACGCCCCTGCGTCCCGTGTATTAGCTCATGCCCCTGCTGCACACGTACAAAGCTGCTGGCCACATCGCGATCGCCTCCAGACCAAGGCCTGCAAGGCCGGGTCGGCGCCGCCCACAGGGCCCACCGAATGATTGTCAGGCATTGCCGTAGCTGCATAATGGGAGGATAGCACGGCACGCTGAACAGGTCTGCCTTGACCTTTTTGTTGACATTCTGCTGTCACAGCCAGAATACTGGTATGTTGTGTACAATCTGCCCGGTGATGTTCATTTTTATCCTGCTGCTCTGCGCGCGTTTGCAACACACCGGACTGGCACAGTCCCAACTTAACAGGAGACGCACCCGGAATACCGCAAAGGTGCAGCTCACTCCGCTCGCTCGCGCAGCGCGCACTTTGCTCTCGCCGGCTGCCTTCACCAGACAGTCGGCTGAGAGACTGCATGCCACAGACAATGCCATAGCACGGGTCGCGCGCATGTATGTGTGTGTGAGTGTGTGTTTGTGTGTGTGAACGCATGCAGGAAGGTGCGTGGAACAGCCATGACCCGCCCCTTCAAAGGGTGCGGTCCACCACAAATGTGCCCACAGCATGCATCAGCATGGGGACAACGGGCAAGGGACGGCCGGCGGCCCCGCCACACTACAGCTCAGCACCCTGTGACTGTGTTTTGAATTCACAACCTGCAAAAGCACTTGCGGCAAACAATGGTCGCTGCACTGCCTCCAATTATGGAGGGTATGTGCGCAGATGCCAGCGATAGGGCTTGTGCCATGTCATGCAGCGCTGTTGAGGCCAGTCAAGAGGCAGTGGGCCCACAGACCCCAAAATTCAGGCAGAGGGCGCCGTGTTGCCGGGCCCCAGGTTCATCACGTCTGTCTAGCAGCCACATCCCACCACCAACCCCCCCTCCCGTGCTGAGCCTACTGACTGGCAGTCCTTCAAAGGCGCCGCAGCATGGCAGCCGTCATCCCCTGCCCTTTGGCCGACCTGGGCAGCAGCTTCCTGCCGGCCACGCGAGCACATGCGTCTGATACCTCCGACAAAACCCCCCCCTGCCGGGGGCCTCCCTCAAGGCTTCACAGCACCATCGCGCCGTCCTCCCCCTCGTCACAGGCGGCGCCCCGCTGCTGCGCCCGCTGCCGTTGGCAGCCGCCCCCCCAATAGCCGTCGTCCGCAGCCGCCGCGGCCTCGCCACCCGCGGCCGGGCGCCCGATGCCGCCGCGACCAAGGGGCGAGAGGCCGGGCGGGTGCGGCTGCGCGGCGCCGCAGTCCATCGAATCGGTTCCGTCACAGACGATCTGAGGGGAAGGGAGAGGGCCCGGGGGTCGTAGCTGTGCAGATTGGCCGGGCAACAGCAGAGGCCGCATCCCTTGGCTTGCTCGTCAGCACTTGCTCCGGTGCGGCGGCTGGGCGGTGCCGTGACCCCTCCGGCCTGGACCACCATGAGGGCACGCTCAACAGAGTCAGCAGAGGGCGTGGCAGTGCAGTGGGGGCCCATGCGGCACGCCCAACAACCACCAGCAGATATGAAACGCCACACACACCGCCCCTCCCAAGTCTAAGCCCACCTGTGCTGTCAGGATGTTGGGGCAGCTGCTGTTGTGGCCCTCCCCGGCCACCACGCCCGCCATCAGGCCCGCCTTGCTGATGCCGCCGGAAGACTGCATGCGCGCGCCACCCCAACCACCGCCGCCGCCGCCACCCGCCCCGCTGCCGCTTTGGACGCTGCTGCTGCCAGGCATGCTCAGGGAGCCAGGCGCCCCCGCACTGCCCCCTGCCGCCACCAGCCCAGCGCCGCCGCCGACCCCGCCGCTGCCCGTCAACCCAAAGCCGCCGCCGCTCCCCGCGCCGCCCCCCACCGGCTGCAGCCCCAGCCCCTGAGGCACCTCGCCCTGGGTCACCGTTCGGCCGCGCATGTGGGGCGCGGCGTTGCGCCGCATGTGGCTGCGCACCCAGGGGTGCGCCAGCAGCTCCTGCATGCCGGTGCGCTGCTCAGGGGAGCGCACGAGGGCGCGCTGTATGAACTCGGTCGCCTCTGGTGACAGCTGCGGGGGGTAGGCCACCTCCTGAGACTTGATCTTGTGGAGCGTCTCCTGGGGGGTGCGCTGCGAGGGGCCAGGGGAGAGGGGCGGACGGATGAGAGGGCGGTGTGCATTTGAGGCAGGCATTATGAGTGTGGTCCAGGTGGGGAATTTCTTCAAATCCCTGTGTGAACATTGTCAAGGGACAAGGCCGCACACCCATGAGAAGCGTGGCTTGAGCTGCAGGCTTTGCTTCGTGCTGTCGCCACCAGTGTGGTCGGGCCGGCGGCCCCTGGCGCCCGTCGGCTCGCGGCTCTCACCGCCTCGAAGGGTGTGTGTCCCGCCAGCAGCTCGTAGGCCAGCACACCAACACTCCAGCAGTCCACCTGGGGATGAGACGGTGGGCATATGTGCGTATGTATGTGTACGCGCGCGCGCGCGCGTGTGTGCGTGCGTGCGTGTGTGTGTGTGTGTGTGTGTGTGTGTGTGTGTGCGTGCGTACGTGCACGCGCGCGTACACGCGCGTGTGCACTTGCAGGCATGTTGCATGGGCGCCTGACTTTCGGCACCGCACACAAACACCTTGACGAGTGCAAGGTACTCCGGGTGCTGCGCCCCACGGCCCTCCGATGCTGCCCCCTTAAATTTCAGGGCAGTGGTTTTGCTGCCCCCCTTCCCACGCAGCCCTCTCCCCCCCCCCACCTTGTTGGTGTACCACTTGTTGGGGTTGGCCTTGTGGTCTGCAGGGTGCTGCTTGACGGGGCAGTCCAGGATCTCGGGAGACAGGTAGTCAATGGTGCCCAGCCTTCGTACGGTGGGGGAGATAAAGGTCAGAGGTTCAGGGGCACAGGGAGGATGTAAGGGGGCGAAGATGGCAGCGGGCGTGAGGGCGGCTGCGGATAAAACAAAACACAACCGGGTCGTCCGCAGGCCCATGCCTGCGGGTTAACTCCATGCACTGCGTGACCGCCTGAGCTCCACTGTTTGACTGCCACCAACCACTTCCGCATCGCTAATCCCGCCCAGAGCTCACTGCGGCCCCCGCCCCCGCGAGACACACCGCCGCGCCCATCACTGACAAATCCTGCACCAGGGCGCACGCACCTGGTGTTTGCGATCTCGTAGTTGCTGTGTATGCTGAGGCCAAAGTCTGCCAGCTTGATCTGCATGCTGGTGGTCAGCAGGATGTTCTCCGGCTTCACGTCGCGGTGGATCATGCCCAGCCCGTGGATGTAGGCCAGCGCACTCATGGTGGGCTCCAGCACCATGGGCACCGCCACGTGCTCCGGCAGGCGGCCGCCGTGCTGCTGCAGGAACGTGAACACGTTGCCCTGGGGGTGACGCGGGGAAAAAGGGGGCCGCGGCGGGGTGGGGTGGATACTGTGATACGTGTGTTTTGTGTGTATATTGTGTGTGTGTGTGTGTTTGTGTGTGTGTGTGTGTGTGTAGGTGTGTGTGTGTGTAGGTGTGTGTGTGTGTGTTTAGACAGCGTGGAGGATGCAGATGAGCGTTCGGCATCACCGGTGCTTCCTGTTGACCCTGGCGCTGACCCATGTGCCCTAGCTCCACCCTATGCCTCCCTGCCATGCCCTCGCGTCCCACCTCTCTCCCCCAAAGCACCACCCCCCACACACACACTCACCTCTGGCGCCCATTCAAGAACGAGATAAATGTAGTCTCGGTCCTTCCAGGCCGCGTACAGCGCGATGATGGAGGGGTGGTTGAGCTGGATGTGCAGCCAGATCTCACGCGCGATCTGGTGGCGCTCCATGTCGTTGAGCATGCCCCGGCGGTACATCTTCAGGCCCACGGTGATGCCGCTGGTACGGTGCACCTGTGGTGTGAGGGGCAGTGGAGGGCCGGCAGCGGTAGGCCAGGCCGATAGGTTCACGGTACGTGTGGCGCCATCCAGGACTTAGAGCAGCTGCACTTCAGCAGGGGCGACGTGGGGCTTTCGTGAAGCGAATACATTTGTAGCAACGCTGTGCTTTGGATGGCGGCGGAGGAGGGCTCACCGCGCGGTACACGCTGCTGATGTGGCCGCTGTACATCTTGGCACGGATCTCAAACACGTCCAGGGACCTGGTGAGGTGCCCCGGGGGGGGGGGCTGGGTTAGGGCAGACTTGAAAGGGGGCGACCATGAAGCTCCATGCAACGGCGGGGTAGCTCATTGCCCACGGGCGCCGCACAGCACAACGAGGCAGCATTGCCCCGCAGATAGCTGCAGCAGATCAAGGCTCCATCGGCGACCAGCCCTCTAGTGGTGTGCCACACTGTTTGCAGTGCCTGGTCGCAATTTGTGTGCAAACCGCTGGTAAACTCGCAGCTGCCCAGGGCCGCCCACCAGTTGTCGCGGGAGAGCGCCGCCGGGCAGTGCTCCGCGATAGCAATCACAGAGCTGCAACACCAAGTGAGAGCGGTAACGATGAGAGGGTAGGGACGCGGCACGTGAGCAGCTTGAAGGATCAGCGCAGGGCTGAACACCAGCTGTTATGATCAAGTTGTTAAGCTGCAATCAGGCGCCTCGTGTCCATGCCATGTCTTCAGCAAGCACATGTGCAACGCCAGTGTGGCCCCGCTGCGCGTGCAAGCACTGTGCAGGCTGCATGCAAGGCAGAGCCGTGGCATCTGCAGGATGCAAGCCATCGGCTGGCGCCGGTGCTCCCCACAAGGTCACGGGTGCGCGCACCTTTCCGAGTCTCCCGCAGCTGCTGCAGCAGCCGGGGCATGGCCCAGCGCAGGGTCCCCGCTGCCCGCGGCATCGACCTCCGCCTCCATCGCTTCAATGGCCTCCTGCTCGCCAGGGCGGGGCCCCTGCTGCTCCGCTGTGCACGCCGCCAATTCCCCGCCATTGGCCGCTGCGTCACCGTCGCGGACGCACGTGCTGCTGCTGCCGCACATTACCAATGATGCATGCTGCTGCGGGACGGCCATGGCACTTCCCAGCTCTGTGCAGGTACCACTGTGTTGCAGGCGTGGAGTGTGCGGGACAGCAGCCAGACTGGTCCACGTGAAGACCATCATATGGCCATCCATGTTGTGCACACACCACTCCAGCATGGCCTTGCTGTTGACCGCCCACCCCACCCCATGTCCCAGAGGTGTGCGTACCTGGTGCAGGGCTTGTCGTCCTCATTATTGTCACACATGTCATGTGTAACCTGCTGACGACCGCCGCCCTTGCCACTGCATCAGCGAGGGCGAACAAGCACCAGGGAGAGCACCAGGTCAGCGTCCGATCGGACCTTGTACGCTGCTCTGGCCAGCTGCCCAGCAGCTTGATAGAACGAAAAGCCTCGATAACTGCTTCGAGGCCCGCAGATCGCAGTGTGGATAACTATAACCACATTATTGCCTTTTGACCAGGGAACCCACAAGAGCTTCCAGGCACGCGTCTTCATCGCCTATTATCTATAAGACGGATCCATGGCTTGCTGCTTCAAGTTGCTCTACTGCTGGCGGCATGCACCGCTGCTGCTGGCGCACTGCATCGACTGCGCGCTGCTGCTGCGTGTAGATGGGCGTTTGAGTATGAAGCCGTTCCTACTGTTTCGAGCAAAGTATGATATTTCCCTGGAGAGCTGCGAATTCCGATATCCAACGCAAGGCCATGTGCTTAGACTTGGGCAGTCAAATCGACGGCAGGGGAAGCTGCCCTTTGTGCACGTGCGGTTGGGTGGGTGGTTGTGAGGCGGCAGCATGGGCCGGTGACATGCAGCGTCTCCTCCCTCGTTTAAGCTACTGCGGCTGCTGTCTGCTTTCTTGAAGAGAACAAAGCATTGTAGACGCCACTCTTGAGTGGTCGGTCGGGCACATGCTTACGTCCCGAGCGTGGGGTGCACAGTCACGCGCTATGCTGCTGCCAGAAATACAGGGCCTGGGCGAAAAGGGCCTGGGACGGAGGTGTTTGTATAATCCGCGCTGCCCATTACATGCCCCTCTGCATTTTCGAGCCAGCCAGGCACCTGCGTTCCAGCAGCCCCCCGTACATCTGCCAAGTGCGGACGTGACGTTTAACGCACGTCGCGAACCCCTCCATGCTCGCGACCTTCGTGCAGGTGCATTGCCTGGTTCGGGGTCAGCGGTACATGGCCCCAGGCTGCTGAGGGTAGCCCATGGGCACACCTGGGCGCAGCAACACGAGGTGGCGGAGGCGGCCATGGTGGCGGGCTCGAGGTGAGCGTGGGATGCCCGCAGCAGTGTGCTTGTGCAGGTATTCAGCATCATGCTGCCGTCATGAGACGCAACACCAAGGAGCCTGGCCCGCAGATTCATGGTGGATCCATGAAGCGCTCACCCTGCGCCGGGTAGCCGCCACCGGGGGGGTAGGCGCCGCCCGGGCCGTAGGCACCGCCCGGGGCGTAGGCGCCGCCCATCTGAATCTGCTGGAGACCAGGGGCCTGGGGGCCAGGGTGATCGGGGGATGGATCGGTTTAATTAGCTAGGACCATGTCAATTCAGCCATGTTTGTGGTGCTGTGCCATCCAGAATGAGCATCCCTCCACCTGTTTGAGCACCCTCCCAAGAGCATCTCTCTTGCAAGAGAATCTCCCTCACTTGCACAACCAAATACACACGCACTCACACACACACACAACCACATGCGCGCGCGCGCGCAGACCTGTGTGGGTGCAGGTGCCCCGCCCCGGCCACCGCTGTCCCTGGCGTCCAGCTCAACCTTGTGGTGGAGGGGTCAGGGCGCGCCACGTAAGGTCAGGATAGTCGCCCATTGTGTGGGACAGCAGGGCCGCGCCCAAGTCAAACATGGGCCATCCCTCAGGTTGGACTGCAGCAGCGTATGCGTGAAAGGCATGGCGCATTGTGCATCGGCCCACACCCTACTGTGGCGCCAGCACATCCGTGCAGCAGGTGCCGCCAGGTCTGCGCCGACGCCCCTGAACCCCAATCGCCACCCTGGCCGCCCGGCTCACCTTGTGCTGGACCTGGATGCAGGCGCAGACTGAGCACCACAGCACGTCCGCGATGCAGTCCAGGACCTTTGAGGAGGTGAGGGAGGCGTAAGGGAGGTGAGAAATGTGGGTATATGCACGCCTGTGTACAACCACAGACACCTGGTCACCGCTTCCTGCCCGCAGCGTAATTTCGCACTAGGCCCTATGACAACGTTCTGTCCCCTGCAACCAGCCAGGTGTGCCCCTCAGCATCACCACGCAACCCCACTGGACCCCCAAAGAACCCCCAAGATCCCCCCCCCCCGACCCCGGTCACCTGTGCGATGTCGTTGATCTCATCAGATCCCGTCAGGCAGGCGGCCAGGGAGCAGATGCACGCCAGGTACTGTTGGACGGGTGATGGGGCAACGGAGGGGGACGAGTGAGTACGGGGACGAGAGCGAGGCAGTCGGGTTGAGTTTATCAAGGTTGGGGACATAGTCTTGGGAGGTGGTGGGGTGCGGCCATGTACGCCGAGACCGACGGGCCAGGGGCGTAGGGCTTGAGCGGGCGGGGGTGCAGGATCGCGCGAGCCCAGGACCTCCCTTTGCGCCCACCTGCGCGCAGATCATGGTGCCTATGATGCAGTTGTCACACTGTGCGGTTGGGACAGGGGTGGCCATTGGGGGATTGTGGGGGGTTGCAGGACGAGGTGGGGTGTATGGTCAAGCCTGAGGATGCACGGGGCCGTTGAGGCCAGCCACCCAGCCCTGGCCTGGCCCCGACTCAACTCACAGCGCCTGCTGTTACAAGACACGAGCCTGCAACACTGCTGCCATGCGTTGAGCAGGGGGCTAGTCAGCCTACCTGCGTGTTCTGGATCGACAGCCTGTGGGGTGTTGGGGCCGTGCAGGTGGGGTTCAGGGTCTTGGGCCGCAAGGCGGCGGACGCGCGGGTGCGGCGGCGTTGCAGGGTGCCGCAGTAAACACGCAGGGGGCCCAGCAGTACTCACTGCCCTGAAACCCATGGGGGGGATGGGGGCGGCTGACGCTAGGCACACGGCTCTGGTTTGCAGGGGGCCTTTGTTCCCCTTGCCGCAACGTTCCACCCGCAATAACCCTTGTCACAAACCCACACCGTCCCACCAAGATGACTCACTCGTCCTGAATCATGAAGCGGGTGGACGCCACAGACTGCGCAAAGCATAAGAACACCTGGAGACAGGGGGCAGACGAAGGGGCGGCGCTGACTGGGTTGGAGGCAACACCCGTGATGGCAAGCAGGGCAGGGTGGCGTTCACCCTGGTGACGCGGCCGGCATAATACGGTGCCAAGTGCGGCTGGCGGTCTGCAAGGCGCACCTCGAAGCAGAGGCACATCTCGGGGCATTTCTTTCCTCGTCGTCGCGACGGTGGGGGTAACAAGGGCGGAGGCGGCGGTGTTGGGGCGATCTAGCGTGCCGGGGCTGCTGGCAAGCGGCATCGCCTCCTTGAATAGGGGTGCGCGGTCAACAGAAACCAAGAGCCCTGGATCGCTATCCAGCGACGGTGTAAGACGGCTTGTAGCAGCACGACAGCATCCCACGGCATAATGTCCAGATGTGACAACCGGTGCGGTCCTCGCACCTGCTCCCCGAGGCGGCCCGAGCAGGGGCAGGCTCCGCCGCAGCAGACATACCTGCTCATGTCACCGTAAAGCGTCTGCTTGCGCAGCTGCGGTTCATGTTCACGGGTGTGTCGCGTGGTGGCGGTGCAAGGGGAATGGGTCGATTGGGTGTGAGCGGGCTACAACCGCCTGACCGTGGGTCTAAGCCAGACATGTGCACCTGCAGCATGGCAGAGCCAGGAGATGCGCCAGGGCATGCGCCTGAAAAGGTCGCGGGGCACCCGCCACACAAGTTGGGGGTCCTGCTCGGCCGCCCTCAGGGCCCGGCCGGATGCGGGCCATGCGCTGCGTGCCGGATGCGCGGCACCTGCCTGGTAGCTGGCGCAGTACCCGCAGAGCATGGCGTAGCAGCAGAACCCCGGCTTGGCGCACGGGTTGTGCAGGGGCTCCTTCCACTGGCGCGCATACCCCGCCCTGCGGCGGGAGGGGAGGGGGCATCACGCAGCAGCAGCGACAGGACCAAGGCGACAACCGCCGGGTGAGCACGACCCCCGGGCTGTGGTCAGGCACATGATGGCGGGCAGTTTGCTGGTTTGTATAAGAATGGCTCACCGCGCCTCCATCTTCTCATAGCGACCAGCCGTCATGGTTCAGCAATGTGCCCAAAAGGTGCCTTGCTGTGCTGGCAGCGTCGGCGCTGCAAACTCCCTGTGTGTCAGGCCGGGATCACGGTCACACAGATAACCACCGTGTATATCGTTTTCCCGCACTTGCTGACTAGGCCTGCAGGCCAGGCTGCCAGCGAAAGTGGCCAAGATCAGTGCTGCCGAACTTGCAGCTCGCCAATGTGTTACAGATGATCGTGTTGCCAAAGGATCAAGGTTGACGTTAGTACGGTTTGGCGACACGTTGAGGCTCGGCCAATTTGACGCGGCTTTGTCGCGTTGGAGCACCCAGCAGCTGGCACCCAGCCCATGATCCAATGATGCCGTGTGCAGCAGGAGGCTAAGCGGCAGCACAACGCATAAAGTATACGCAAGCTGTGCACAGGATATAGAAATCAACCGCTCTGCAGAGTTCCGAGCATGCTGTTATGACCAGCACGCTGCATGGGTTCATCCACACTCACTAGTGGACCCTGCATTAGGACCCACACACTTTCGACCGGGAGGCTGACGTGGTCTCGCCGAGCAAAGCGACCCAGGCGCCATCCATGGACATACTGCATTGCGCTAGGAATGGTCCCATCAGACGCCTTGGAGCAGCGCTGCCCAAGTTTACCATGACATGGACTGAGCCAAAAGCTGCAGCATCAATTACGCTGGATCAGTGCTTGAGCGTGGTTTGCAGGCCGCACGCTCAACAGAAATCACCCATGACAACAAGTCACATGTGGAATCACCAGGCAAAACGCACCGACGCAAATAAAACTTGAGCTTCGCAAGCGTGCGCAGGGTGGGGGAGGGCACTCTGGATAGGTTCTCTAGCACCCTGGTCGGGCCGGTGACGCAGCCTGGGGGGGGGGGTCTTTGATGTGTAGCAGTGGCCAGCTGCAAACCCAAACGCTGCAAGATCTCAAGGCCGGCACAATGTGTGGTAAGCCACGCCGCACCGAGCGTTGCGCACGCCCCGTTGTCTGGGAGCTGAAACGCTCAGCAAACGCTGCGTCAGGCTGCGCTTGAGGTGTCGCAGCTGAGTCCGATGAAATGCAGGGCGTATGCTGCAGCTGAGCGTGCAGCAACACAAGTTCACAAAATCGCAGGGGCTGCCCTGAGGAGGGGCGCATCAAAAGTGAGTCATCACCGGAGCTGCGGCACGCCGGGCAGTTGAATAGCATATGTCACTGCCACAGCAAGGCGTTCCACTGACGGCCTGAGGCTAGGTGTGGCAGCAAACGTATGCGCACCTTTATGGGCGCTCAAAGTCACGCTGATCCAAAAACACACGCCACATGACAGGAGGGTTGCTGCCCAAGTGTCGATGTGAATCCATCATTCTATTAGTGGAGCAGCCAGCGCAAAGGGGCTGGGCCGTGTCCTTCATACCTGCACAATACTGTACCTGCACAATAGCAGGCAGCTTAATAGCAGCACTCAGCGCCCATTGTGCTGGGGCAGGTGGCGCCTCTTGGGGGCACGGCCCTGCGCCGACATCACTGTGCGCAGTCCAGCCCGTGCACTGCGCTGGAAATCCCATGATCGTGCAAAATCACACTGCTGATCGTGCAACACCAAGGGCTGGGGCCCCGTTGTGGTTGAGCGCTGGTGGGCAGGGGGGCGGGCTCCCAATATCCTGGAGGTGATGAGTTGTTGTGGTACAAGCTACTGCCCTGAGTGCGTTCACACTCAATTAGCGCGCCGCGAACTCACAGGGGAGCTGCGGTGGGGACAACCAGACACTGGATGCGCGAGTGATCCTCTTGCCTTGCTGTGGCACCGATGCGCGCATGAGTGGAAGCAGGTTCATGGTGGTAGGGTTGTGGTACATGTACAGTACGGTGGGGTTCCCGGCCAAAAAGGCCCCACTGGCAGGTGTGGCTCGTGGCAGGCTGGACAACTACACCCAGTCCAAGAATGGGTTGGCGGGAGCCAAGTCAAGCTGAGCTCGGCAACGGCGGGGTCGTGGCAGCCGCAAATAATTGCCTGTTGTGGCAACACTTTGGGGGTACGGCGGCCGCCCGCGCTTGCATTGAGGGCCTCACATGTGGCTCCTTCAAATACCTCTCAACAAGACACATCAGGCCGCAGATAAAACGTCCCAGGACAGCCTCCACAAATCCATGACTTTCCCTTATTATCACCAAGGCAGCCGGCATCGTCGCCAAGCCCAGTGCACCATACAGCCCCATCACACCTAAACAAAGTGGGGTTGCATTGTGCTCCAGTGCCTCTGCGCCACCAAGCCGGCGCAACAATTGTGCGGTGCACTGGAACAGCATGTCTTTCTCGAAAAGCCAGACCGCCCACCAGTGCGCCAGGCGAGGCGAGGAGCTGGTGGCTGTGCAGCAGAGCTAGGGGCACGCATCGCTGCGACTGATACGAACCCCGGGCGAGTGAGGTGTTGTCGCGGCAGCCGCCGGGACCCCTGAAGCTGCCGCAGCTACACATGCGGAGCGAGAGGTGGCAGCGTGTAAGAGGGCAGGCTTCACTCCTCACCCCGCTCGCGCGTGTGTTGGCGTGGCCCCAACCTCTGATGCCGGGCGTTTGGGCGCATCATTGCAGGTGAGGCCCGTATCGGCCGCGCTTCCAGCCAGCAGGTCCAGCAGGTGCAGCGCGCGGCGCGCAAGCTCCCCGTGCGGCGCCGCCTCCTCCACCAGCAGACGCCGCACCGCCAGGACCGCGCCACGCCTGCGCAGCGCCGCCACCGACGCCGCCGCCGCACGCGCCGCCTCGCTGCCACTGGCGCCGCAGCCGCCGGGCACGAACGCGACGCGCGCCAGGGCCAAAAGGGCTGCCTCCTTGGCCTGGGGCGGCAGCCGCGCGTCACGCAGGGACCGCAGCAGCGCCGCGAGCGCGCCCTCCTCACGCAGCTGCTCGACCGCGGCCGCGCCACCATTGCGCACAAGCGCCGCCACGACCGCTGGCACGCGCGCGGCCGCGGCGGCAGCCGGACCGGTGGCGCCAACGGTTGGGTCTGGGAGCAGCATCAGCAGCGGCAGCAGCGCGCCCGCCTTGCAGAGGGTCGCTGCGAGCTGGGGGTCCTGCGCCATGAGAGCCACCAGGTCGAGCGCTGACATCAGCGCGGCTGCCTCCTGCTGCCTCTGCTGGTGGTTGCTGCGGTGGTCGTGGGCCCCAGACGCCACCTGGGACGGCAGCTGCTGCGAAGCCGCACTGTCCACCATGGAGCTCTGAATGACGGTCGCCAGGAACGGGCCGACGGCGAAGGCGACGCAGCGCCATGCATCGCGCGCGCCCGCCCCATCCTGCGGTGCCGGCTCGCCGCAACATTCGCACTCGCCCGCAGCCTGCGTGCCCCGCTGTCGCCCCAGGAGGAGCAGCCGCAGCGCGGGCGTCGCCGCAGCTGCGCCGGAGCAGGGGTGCAGCGCACAGCTCGCCGCCAGTGCCTCCAGCAGGCGCGGCTCCAGCAGCTGTGGTGCGCCACCCTGGCAGCCGGCGCCGCTGACGCCCCCACTCAGGGCGCAAAAGCTGCCGCTGCCGGCCCCGCTGAAGCCGCTGCAGAAGATACCGCCGCCAAGGTGTGCAGGCGCGGCCGAACCGGAGCTGCGCCGCGTCGCGCCAGTGCCAGCGCCAAACGCCAGCGCTTCGGCGGCAGCAAAGGCCGCGGCCGCGAGGTCGCCGACGCGTGCACCCAGGGGCCCGCGCAGCAGCGCCAGCAGCGCCGCGCCGCCCACACCGGCCCAGAACTCGAGCTTCAATGCGTCGCTGCGCAGCAGCGCCACCAGCGCCCGCAGCGCCGCCGCCCCAACCGCCTGGGACGCAGGACCGAGCGCTGCGCCGGCGCCGCCCTTGAGAGGCGGCCCATCCTGAGCGTCGGCGCCGGCGCCGGCTGCATCAGCAGCCGCTGCGCAGCGTGTAAACTTGGCGGCCAGGAGGTGCGGCGCCCCCATCGCGACCAGCGCGGCCCTGTTGGTGTCGTCCACGGCCTGAGGGGTGGGAATCGGTGTGAAGCGCAGATGAGGGGACATTCGCGGGCTGAGGAAATGACAGTCGGCCAGGATGGAGCGCAGCGGACGCGTGCCGCTCAAGAGGCGCTGCCGCGGACGACGGGCTTCAGACGGCCAGCCAAGCCTCAGGCCGACGGTCAACAGGGCCGCGGCAAAGGTAGCCGCCCCCGCCGCAAGCCTCGATGTGAGGCCACGCGGCGCGCACCGCTCGCGCCCCTCGTCACCAAACGCAAGCTGGCCACCGCCCCCTCGCTGCAATGGTCACGCAAGCGGGTGTGCAATGAGCGGGGAGTGGGAAGCGGGGTTGCTCATAACCCACCCCAGGCCCCCCCCTCACCAGGTAGCTGACGGCCTCCAGGCAGTCCAGCAGGCGCTGCTGCATGAGGTGGGCCAGGCCCTCCGCGTCATCGTCCCCGTCAGCCTCCACGGGCGACCCAGACAAGAGGCCGCCCTGGGGGCTCGAACCAGGAGCGGGCACGCAGGCTGACGCGCCCCCAAATCGTGGGGAATGGCTGCGTGCCGGCGGCGCGAACGAGAGCGTCCAGGGCCGCCGGTCGTCGTCGCCCAGGCTGCGGCGCGCCAGGCGGTTGACGCCGTCGAGGCCGCCGCCGCCCCCGAGGGAAGTCGAGCCGGCCCCGTCGAACGAAGCGCGCCGCGGGCCGCCGCCACACGGGGGTGAGCCTGCGCAGCACCGGCTGCTGGGAGGCCACAGCTCCGCCGACGCACGGCGCGCGCCCGCCAGCGCCTCTCTGGTCCGGACGGCGCCGCCGCCGCCCGGCCCGCAGTCGGCGCCGGCGGCGCCGCCGTCTGCGCGGATGCGCGCCAGGAGGGGCGCCAGCACGCCCGCCTGGCAGGCCACCAGGCCGCCGCGGTCGGCGGCGCCGGCTGCGCACTCTGCCAGGACGGCCTTGGCGCGAGAGATCGATAAGCGCCGCGCCGGCGGGGCGCGATTCAACGGTGGCGTGGGCGGCGGCGGCGGTGGCGGCGAGGCGCCGCACGGCGCGGCAGCGTGACTTTGCGGCCGCGCGGCCCAGTTTGAGTTCGCGCGCCCTCCGCCGCGGGCGTGTGACACTTGCAAGTGAGCTGACTCGGCGCGCCGCGTGCAGCCGCCACTCTCAGCAGCCGCGGCGCGGGTTTGCGAGGAAGCGTGCTGGCCGTGAGGGGCCTGCGGCAAGTAATGGCTTTGCTGCGCGTTGCCGCCATCGTGGGAGTGGCTGCGACGGTGTGCCTGGTCGGGGCCGTGGTCGCCACAGCGCGTGCGTCCCCCACGCTCGCTGATGGTCCCGAGCACGTCGTCGTCACCGCTGCACGAGGCACGCCGGCCGCGCCACCCCGCGTCGAGGCTGCCAAAACCTGTGCCACGGCTGTCGCTGGCGCGGCGCTGCGCCGCCGAGGCCGGAGCCGCAGGGCTGGCAGCACTTGCTGCTGCAGGGGCTGACGAGGCTTGGGCTGAGCAGTGCGCTGTCAGCAGCAAAGGGTCGAGCAGCCGGCCCTGGTCAGAGGCGCCGCCCCTGCAGGCGGGTGTGCTGCTGACGGAGCGCGGCTGCAACGGCGATGATGATGGCTGGGTGGACTTGCGAGTGGTCGTGCCTGCTGCGCGCAACAGTGTGTAATGTGTTGTTTGAGAAGGTCAAGAGTTGTGAGTTGCGCTGATGCAGAGGCTAAGGCAGCGAGCCGCATGCGTGCAAGTAACCGCGCTCTCTTGTAAGCTTGTGACTTTGTTCGGCTCGTTCTGTACCTGGTCACTCGCATCCCGGCCCGCACCGTGTGAGGGCCGCCGGGGGTCGCTATCGAAGCTGCAGTGTTCTCGGCGGCCCACGTCACCACAGCAGCCCGTGGGCGGCGTGGCGTGCGATGCCAGGGGTGAGCCGGGCAGGCCGTCCAGCTCGGGCGCAGAGCTGGCGCTGGGCAGGGGCCCTGAGCTGCTTGCTGGGCCACAGGGCGCGCCTCCCCCGAGCCACGCATGGCCTTGGAACGCCAGCCCAGGAACGACGGGCGGCGCGAGCGCCTCGATCATGGCTGATGGTGGCCTGCATCATAAGGTGTGCCAGTTGGATGCCATGCTGGACGCCCACTGGCACTGAAACAAGGCGGCCGCACAGTCAGCAACAAGAGGGCCGTCGACGCAGAGACCGCTACCCCACAACAAACATGCTATATTCGGTGACACTTTCACTCTCCCGTGCACTCTGAGCGGCCCACATCACGCGCTCTGACAATTCCGCGGCTCGCTGACCCGGCGCGGCCGTGCTCCGCAATCCAGACACCCTAATCAAAAGAAAACTTCATCACCTTCTCAACAAGAGTGAGGTTGACCTATGCAGGGTGGGCCGATCACAGACTTCGCGACACCGCATGCATCGCTGTGGTCTACTCCCTGCATAATCAAGTTTACAAGAATGTTGTGGTATTGAAGCGATTGCGGCGCACGAAGAGGGAGGCCCAGACCCTAGATGGCGCACAGCAAACAGGCACCGGGGGTGACCGCGACACTGGCACTTGGTCACAACCGCTTGCCCAACTACATGCCACACCCCAACCGCACGCATCACCAGTCACGCCAGCCCCCTCTACAGAACGCTCATACATTTACCTACACCCGCCTAGTAAACAGGCCTTGCAGGCCATGTTGGCTTCCCACAGCTGCTGGCGGCTGACGCATGGCGTTGCCAGAGGAGGAGTCGGCATGACGCGTCCCAGCACCTGCGCAGAAGTGACGGCTGCCCAACTGTGACTTCCGGATGCTGCTGCATGAAGACACGAGCGCTGTTGTGGACCTTGCAAACGCGCACCGGCCAGCCGGCGCCCTGAGTACCGTGTCCTTGATTCAAGGACGGGCTGGCTGGGGATGCCGCGGGCGCTGTCAGGGAGTGTTACATACCATATGGTAGCGTCAGAAGGGTCAACAGGTGTGAGCACGCAGCCGTGCCCCTGCCACAGCCGCCGTTCAACATGCGGCGGCGGCCACCAGGGCACCGCAAAACGCCGCGCGCACACACCCTTGGAAAGGCGGCGGCGAGCACCGCCCCCGGTCATGGTCACAGGTGCAGCCTGCCGCTGCAACCAGCCGCACCAAGCCATCATGGCACCTGCCGCCGCAAGCGGCTCGCAGGGATGGCATGTTGCTGGGGCGCAGCTGCATGTGCGTAAACTGCCGCAGTCACGGCTGCCACACACGCGCTCAGCTGCACACCCCATGCCTCGCCCAATGCGGAGCAACACACGCCATGCGCCTCCGCTGCTGGCGCCATGCGGCGTGAGGGCCCGAGTGGCGTCCACCGTCCTTTGCCGCACACAGGGTGCGGCACAGGGACGGCGGTGGCGCTGGTCGTGCCGCTGCGGCCGCGGCCCCTCATACCACGGTCTCCAGCGCGTCTGCGCCCAGGCCGTAGAGGACGCCCATGTGCTTCGACGCACCCTGGGCACGAGGCAGGAGTTGAGCAGGTGCACCAGCGGCCGTCAGCTGCGTGTGCCAGACCATGAACCCAGCGGTCCTTGCGGGCCGCGGGTCGTCACCTGGCTGCCGGCGGCCGGGCTGACGGCGACGTCTCGAAAACAGCATGAGGGACCAGCGGCGTCCCCTGTGAGTGCAAGCCAGCAGCACCCGCCCGGCTGCGCTGCGTGCCGCCACACGCCTACCCCGCAAATGCACTGTTACCACCCCCCTCGCCTCCCCGGCCGCGCCCCACCTGCACGCCCCCAAAGTATCTGTCCGCCAGCTTCAGGAAGGTGAGTGACGTCAGCAGGCTGTCGCTGCCGGCCTGGTGCTGGGGCCCGATGCGCTGCACGTCCAGCAGCTCCGCCAGCTTGTTGAGGCCGCCGTGGACATTGTCGCAGAACTTCATCAGGTACTGGGGGG